AAACAACTAAGAAACACTTGTATCCCTGCAAGGGGCAAGCTCAATGACGAGCATCAGTGCCAGCCATTAAAATCTCAGGGAAGAACGGTAAACACCTCCACATCGTCCATTCCTGGGTTTCTTACGGAATATTGAAAAGTCCAACCATGGCATGCACCTGCATGGGCACCATCCTTGTTCACTGCAAAAACAGCTCCAGTAAAGTCAGGATACTTGTTTGCGATTCGTGATATTGCATCTTTGGCAGCAAGCTCTGGTTGCATTCCTCGCCTCATACTCTCTACAACTTGATAACTGAAATCCACAAAAACCACAGGTGATATATCTAAGAATCTTAAACAGAGTAACTATTAACAGAGAAGCGCAGTGAATTCTTTATCATTATCCAGATTTTGGGATGCATTAGCGGTTAGCTATCAAATTACAAGGACCAGCAACAAGTTAGAAATTTTTTTTTGTTTGTTGTGGGGGGGGGGGGTTGGTGGTGGTAGAAGGGGAGCAATTGCTTCACCAGCAAAAAAGTTGCTCAGGCATGAAAGGAAGCTATAGTGATGTAACCATCTAACATGTAACAGGTTCATTTAAAACATCTTAAGCATCTGTGTCTATTACATTGAGCTTTCATCCTATCTGATATGAGAATCACCATAAGCTTTCTATACCACCGATCATTTCACCTTGCCAAAGTTTTTTCCATGCATTCAGCCCAGAATATATACCACAATAAAATCCTAGTCATCATGGAGAAAGCTGATCTCAGAAAGCTATATTCAAGTAAATTTATTCCAGAAAGCTACCATGGAAGAAATCGCATCATAATATCACCATCCCCAGTTGCACCGCATGCTCCAACTTCAGCATCAGCGTATGCCGAAGATCCAGCAATGGGTCCGTCGCCAACCCTAGCTCAAGCAAACCGAATAGCACAGAAAATTAGTGCGGAAGGTTTGCCTGGGAAAAAGCATATTATCAACAGGTAGATCAAACGTGTCATCCAAGGTAAGTTAACCTTTTAAGAAAAGTATGCAGTCTAAAGAGTAATTACAAGTGATTATAGGCTTATAGCTCTAAACACTTTTGAACATAAAAACTTAAAAAAGGTTCCATCATCTATCTTGCGAACATTAAATGCATTAAGCAGGTTGGCATATAAATCCAAGGTCATTACTCTATACAAAGAAATAATGTCACCCTAGAAACAAGTAAACCATTGGTTAAGTGGCTACAGGATTTTAGCCTAGTTAATACTGATCGGTTTGACAGAAAGATTGCTGCCAATCAATCTACAATCTCAATCAAACAGGACTTGTTGGTAATTCATTCTCAGGGAAAAAAAAAAGAACAGAAAGAAAAAGAGAAGGAAAAGTTAGCTTTATACAACTAACTGACTAAATACAACCATTTCTTTTTTTTTTTCGGTCCTCCCCCACCCCCTACTTTCTGATAAGAAAATCAAACGTAGGTTTGTAATACGTTTTGCTCTCTGACACATCAACTAAAAGTTTTAGAAGGAAATAAGATCAATTTTGTTATAATCTGTTACAGCATATAAGCTAAGTGAATCACCTGCCAGGAATCTTAAATGTGGCCCCATTAGTTGATGTACCAGCAGCAATGTGTCCCATCTGAATAATAACATCCACTATAATCTATTTTCTGGTAAGATTCTTGATCAGAATGGGGAGGTACAGTAACCAAGAACTTACAGTATCAATGACAGCCATAGCTATTGTATCATGGTTGCGACGATCTATGAACGGTCTGGACTCGTTTAGACCGTCCAAGTTGGCCATTGAGCATGTTATCTTACCCAAGGCCAAGGCATGCTCTGGATGGTAAGGACCACAGCTGTCAGCAGGAGAAACATTTTTTCTAAAATTTGGCTGGCAGTTACTCTCTTTCCATTTAGCCCACTTTTCTAAGGACTCTGTAGAGCTTAGGTTTGTTGGCCCTGGAAGACCCATTGAAATGGCAAATATTGAGGCTTGCTCTCCGACAAGCATGGTGTGCTGAGTGTATTGCATCACCAATTGTGCAGCTTTGATGCCATCCCGTACATACCTCATGGCTGCAACAGCTCCAACCTCCATTGTCACCTAGGCATGTCTTAGTAAAATCCAAAGTAATGGTCATTTTTTCTTAATGACAAAAAGCATATTAGCAATGTCAAAACAGTCCTATAAATTGTTTGACAAAACCAGAGCATACTGGTAATGTCAAACTAATTTTGCAATTTTTTAGCAATATGGAAACAGTTGAAGTGGTTATTACCCCGTTCATGAGCATTGCATCTATTGTAGTTTCCCCATTCTCATCTGGGCTTCCACCAGGTCCAACTGTCCACGTGAATAACCATCACAAGGGGAAAAAAATCCATACAAATTTTGGCTAGCATCCTAAAAATGTTTCTTGCTATTTGTGATCGACAGAAATTATTTTTATATTAACAAAACCTTCTAAATGTCTGATCAAAATTAAACATTTGAACAAGCCAAAGAGATAAAATTAAAGGAACTTTATTCAGTCTCCCTATTCTGGTGAGCTACATGCTCATATTAAAGAAAGAAAGAGAAAATTATGTCAGAAGCATCTGGAGAAGATCATGAGCAATCATGCAATTACAAATTACAGATGCAGGTAAAGTCCAGAAGCTTTCTAGAATTTCCAATCAATCAGCTGAAAATGGGGACTATAAGATGCAACCATATATGGCACTGTAGAAGATGAGATGATAGGAGCAAATTGCAAAGTTTGCAGAACATAACCCTATGGACCAGCCAAATTCAAAAATTGGTGTTTTCCCTAGTATAACAAACGAATAATGAATCTCTAAGTTCCAGAGTTCCAACCTGTACCATCACATCTTAGCTCCTCGCAAGCAGAACAACCTTCCACCACAGTATCAACTGCAGAAGCGCCATTGTGGACAGCCCTCCAGGCAGCTCTAACAGCTTCTTTGAAGGGCCAGGTGCTGACCACTAATGGATACTTCCAGGAGGTCTTAGCAGCAGCCCCGTTTCCCAATGCCTGTTTTCATGAAATAGTAGTACTAGGTGACGTCAGTGAAAATCCAAAATGCTACACTAAGAAGGACACGAATTGCTACACTAAAAGCATGGCACCTTAACGACAATCTGTTAAATTTGTGTTCCCAGCTAAGTCGCTACGACTGTACTACAAGATAAGTACTCGGAATTCAACAAATCAAGGAGACGAAAATTTGCAGAGATAGTCTGACCCAGAAAATATCGAAACGGAAAGACTCGGATGATGATCATAACTAGGACACGAATTGTTTGCCCCTGTTCCCATAAATTATGAACTTAAATATAAATAAATAAAATAGAATAAAATAAGCGCGATAATCCATGAAAAAAGAATAAAAAGATGGATAAAAAAGTGCACAGAATTATGGATGACTTCTTACTTACCGAAGAGAAGAGTATAGTAGCAGCAATGAGAAGGCTTAGGAAGAGGGTCGACATCGGACAAACTATCGACGGAGTTCCTGTTCGTCTGATTTCGAACTCCGCTTGGTACTAATTTTATGGACTGATCGAGGAATTTGTTTTGTGAAATAAAATACTTAGCCTAAATCCCAAAATGCCCCCTGTAATGTTACCTTAGCAGCAAGTTACCTCTCATATTCACAAAACATACAAATTGCCCCCTCTAAATTGTGAAAAGATAGTCATATCCTTACATACGTATTTCTTTGGTACTACAAAATAAATTTGTGTACCAAAATTTAACTTTTTGGCCCTAGAATATGTTCTTTTTTTTTTTAAATTTATGGAGAGCTGTTAGAGTGAAAAGGATAGAGTCTCATGAATGATTAAGTTAGATGTAAAAAATGTCTTAAAGTTTTTTTTTTGGAAAATAGCTTATAATTATAATCTAAACAAAATTTGCACTTGCTTCCTCGTACTCAAAATTCAAGATAAATCATGCAAAATTCGATTGATAGAAATAAACCTCAAAATTTTAACTAGGAATTTTCTTTTAGTTTTTTATTCTATTTTTTGTTTCCTTTTATTCTCCTAAAAAATGCTTTTTGGCATCTAACTTTATCATTCATGAAGTTTTACCCTTACTAATTTAACAAGTTTTCGTAAAATAAAAAAATAACATAACTTTGGATCCAAAAAGTTTAATTTAGTACACACTTAATTTTTTAGTGCCAAAAGGTTAAAACTATCTATCAGATAAAATAAGTATATATGAATATGACCATCTTTTCATAATTTAGAAAGGGTAATTCGTGTGTTTTGTGACTATGACGGCAATTTGCTATTGAAGTAACATCACAAGGGGCATTTTGAGATTAAGCCAACAAAATAAGTACTAAAGTTAAATTCTTGCATCTTTATTTGCCTCCTTAGTGCCTGTAAATTTTGCCCCATTTTTGTTTGGCTTTAACATCCGTTTTTGGCGTCGCAAGTCCGAACTATAATGTTACACGGCGTCTCTACCAGCAGCAAATTAAGTCACATTAGGTTTGGGCAAACGTCATTTATCATCCAAACACAGAAACCGACGATCGGGACTCGTATAGCCAAGCATGCAAATACAGTATACAGCGATCAAAGAAACTCCATTGAAGAGATGCAAATTAGCATTAAAACATGGATTCGTATAATGGACGCTAAGATATACCTCAAGTGTTAAATTTTTGGAAATGTGAGATTAATTAGGAAAAATAAATAAATTAAAGATAAGAGTAATAATGGTTAGTATATATATATATATATATATATATATATATATATATATATATATATGGAGAGAGAGAGAGACACATGATAGGTAAAATTTAAGTGTGTTAATGAATATCCAATGGACGCCTTAAAACATATGAACATGGGGTTTGGATTCGAAAATGGAGCTGCACAGGCACAAAAGTGAAAATCACTCGAATGATGCCACAGACCATTGGATTAGCTAATCATGATCAATACCATATTTGACAATCATGGTGAAGCATTCTGTAATGCAATCATGCAAAATTTCCATAAATATAATCATAAAAGCAACATGCTATACAATCTTCAAGAAAATTGAACCTAGCAGGTTAAAATCTAATTGAACAAATGCATTCACAACCGACAATCTTCCCAGTCACCAGACAGTTTCATTTGCATCTGTGAAAATTGCATTGTGTTGCTCAATTAAGCATTGGATAACCTCGATAGCTCCATAATCTACTGGCAACCCGTCATCCAAGGGAATGGGAGATGATGCATCTGCATCTTCGCCTTCTTCTGCATGGTTAAGAACAAACAGAATAGTATAATAATCACCAGTAAATATCGATTTCAAGTTCTATAATACTTCAAGTTTATAACGAAAGTATGAAACTTGAAATCAGACAAGGATAATACTTGCCAAGGAAGACAGATAAAGAACCAAATTACCTGCCAGCATGTCCCATGTACTATCATAATCTTGGGCAGGAATCCTGTCAGTTTTAGAGTGAGATTTCAATGAGTGATTCCAGAACTGTTTATAATGCTCTGGTCTCTGCCCTTGCTGCCACATAAGGATAGGGGCCATTTCCATGGCAATGCTTCGAGCATCCATCTACCAGAAATGAATATATATGGAGCTGTGAGCATGGTTACCTAGTGCTAATTCACCAGCAATATTATATGCAAGAATTCAAATTCTGCAGATAACTAAAGACAAATAAAATCCAAAAGAATTCAAACCAATAAATTACATGATACTTCTATATATATGGATATCACATTTACTGGTAAAGCAAAACATATTATTCAAATTAGACTCATGCTGTTTCTTTTTCAAAAACTCACCAACATTAACCAATCAAAGAAGCTAAAGATCTTAAAGATGTCTGCATTTGGAAGATATCATTCATCAAAAATCATAAGGTATTCCGTCCAACTATAAAATATTGGAACATTAAAACTTTCTTGTGGCCATTCTTGCAAACTTTCAGCAAAAATAACTCAATTTGCTATAGTAGATACTGCAAGAGATTTGACTACACCATCGAAGGTACAATAAGATACATTAATAGAAATGTGTGCATGCACAGACGAAAGCCTGCACATTATATGCACACTGTCTAGACAAGCACTAGCACACACACGAGCACACGTGCATACATACATGAGAGAGAGATAGAGAGAGAGATCAGATTGCCTTGTTAAGTAGAGACTTCTGGCTAACACGGAGAAGTACTGCAGTAATCAATTCGAGTGTCATGTAATTAACCGTTGGAAGCCTCTTCAGTATATTTCTCATGGTATGGATGCTGGAGCGAGCACTTCTGATTTCGTTATACAGCTCAAAGGTGGTCAAAGGCTCAGGCAGGCTTGCAAGGTAACACTTCATGAGAGATGCAACATCAAGAGCATTCACACCTTCTGGCAGTGAAGCATTCAGATCTACAGCACAGAGATAAGAAAGCATGGATATAAGAAGGTTGATTGATGAAGAACCACAAAAGGTTGACACAAGCTTGAACACTCCAATACCTTGATTGTATAATGAAACTAAGTGCTGAATAACCTTTCTGTCTCCTTCAGACTTGAACAGCTCTTGTGAGCTCATCCCTTGACCAAATGAAAGTTCATATTATTTTAGGAACTAAAAGATTAAAATTACGGTAACAACAGCATATAAATGTTTTCCACATATAGGCTATTTACCTGATAATACAAGATAATCGGCACATTTGACCAAGATATAAGGAATGGGCCTTGTAGAATGTTGCCGATGAACAGTTACTTCAATTGGAACTCCAAACACTGTTGGTTATAAATAGATAAGGACCATTAGAATTTTAGCTAGAACACACCAGAACATTTTGCAACTGGACGATGTGCATTACAACTATTGACCAGGTAGAAGTTCAAAGTTTATATTACATCAAGCATTTCTGATTTGGCAAGTTAGAAGTAAGCACTAATTAGCATCCCCAAGAATAGGTTTCGTATTAATTCTGATTTGGCAAGTTAGAAGTAAGCATTAATTAGCATCCCCAAGTATAGGTTTCGTATTAATTCTGTAAAACTCATAGCTGAGCATAAAAGCAGGAAAAAGCTAATGATATGACCAGAAAGGTTCACAAGCCAACTATAAAAGCTCGAGAATTAAACCCTGAGCAACAATAGCACAATCTCACCATATTTACCTCTTGCATGATTACCTCATCAGGCCAAGAAGAGGACTCATTATGCATTCATTTAACACAATTTTTTTTAAGCCAAAGAACGGAACTCACTAAATAAGTAATTAATGGTCAAAATGCTAGAAGCTTACCATCAGTACTTGCAACACCCTGCAAAATGAATAAGAAAAAAATTAATATTTATGAAAATTTGTGTTAAAAGGTAGGCAAATAGAACTCACACAGGACCAGAAAATAATCCTGACAAGCATCAAAAGTACCTTCTGCCAACGTTCAAGGTCAGTAAGTAAAGTCTTGCTCTTTTGTGCAGTCTTCTTTGCCACCTGAACCACGGTTGTTCTTGCCAATAAGTCAACTATTGCAGCAATCAGAACTGCTTATTACTACAGGGACTACATGATATTCTACACTTTTCAGTTTCACATATTCATGCATCTCTAAAATAGTATGCATATCCACCAAAAGAAGGTTTTCCTAATCCTTATTCCCATTCAGGTCATAAAGATGGTCACAGAAGCAACATGTTTTCAAGAAAAAGCGTTTTACAGAAGGATGAATAATTTATATGTGCATTATACCATGCAATACGTCTTGCCTGCAGTTCTGTCAAGAATGTCAATACAATGTCACACAAATGAACTTGATCATTATGGCTGATGATTTCACATGGATTTGCAGACTGTTAACATCTGTGCCAATAGAAGTTCACATTTGATCTTTCATTTTCCTGTTCTATTTCATTTTTTTTGCAACATAGTGAAAGGGTAAGAAATTTGCTCAGGAAGTAGAAAGATTTGAGGAATGTTAAACAAAATGCTACTAGACCATAAATGATGTCTCCAAGTTGCACAAGGATGATTGCACTAATAACACCATATATCAACCCCAACTAAGACTGAGATTAACTCTCCTAACAGGAAAACATCAAAGTTTTTGCTTAATCAGTTTCACTAGCATATTTATAGCTTCGTTGTTCAAATTAGTAATGGAAGTTTAAAATGCCACATATGATGAATAATCCAAGATCTTTCTCTTTTGACACACAGACAAATTTTCCAAGGGACACCGTTTAATTAAGTTGCGCAACACTAGTGTAGGAGCTTCCATTAATGCTGTAGGTCACATATTCCATTATATAACAATCATGTAGGGATCTCTATTAATATTAAGTGACCATCAGATTCAAATCAGCAACATGAACAAACAGATATTATAATGTTATCATCCCAATCAAGAACCTGCAATAATCAGCAAAAGCGAATTCAAAAAAAGTACCTTGCTTTACTGGATTTTTAGCAGTTTCATTGCATGTCATATGGGAATATGTATATCTCTGCATATGTATTGGGCTAACATACTTTTGGTGTATCTAGTACATGTCTGTACTTGTTATTAATTAATAACTACATATGCTTACTGATTTCTGGGGACTGAATTGTTTGGAAAGCATTACCTCTTCAGCCTTAGTCTTTCCAACCGTAACCTTATCTTTTGTTTCTGAGAATCCCTTCCTCAAGAACATGCTGGTGGTTGCAGCTGCAGTGATAAGACGCTCTTGCATGGCATGTCTCGTTGATGGCTGCTGAAGAAGCGACCACCGACTTTTAACCATTGATCCAACTTTTCCCACCGCATCAGCAACATTACCTTTAGCATCCTTGGCAACCTCCTCTACAAAAGTCCCTGCAGTATGGCCGGCTTCTTTAAGCTTCACACCTGCATTAAAGATTTGATCAGTCCACAATACCAAAGAAAACGAAAAAGAACTAAATTAATGCACCAGTGTGTGTGTGTGTATATATATATATCACATAAGGGTTTGAAAAGAAGATCACTTGAGGATTGAAGGAAATCACTAGCTTTCTCTTGCCACTGAGGCGAGGCGGCAGACGGCATTAGGTTGCCACCAGATAACAAGTTAATCCCTGTTCGAAAAACGGATGAAATAAGCATGTTACACAAAAGAACAGGTAAATAGAACTGATATCAAATTTAGTAGACATATACAGTGACTACAGTCTCACACCAAATAGAGTAGTAATCCAACTAAATTTGAAGCTACCAGCAAGAAGTCATCGTAAAAAAATTCTTAAAACAGAATTTGATGCTTTATTAGGCACTGATCAAGAATATCAAATTCAAGACGAAAATTCCTTCTCTTTTGGTTTCGTTGATCTTCCTGGGAATCAAGAAAGTGAAAGTAAAAGAAAACATAAGAAAGAAACAAAAGTTGTTTTAAAAATCAAGAATTTCCCGCTGATGATCAATCACATCTAAGAGGAATTTATCAAGGCGATAGCGATTAAAGAACATGCCATTTTCAACTCGATAGATTTACTCATTTCTTGACACCAAAAAAAAAATGGTCGAAATCCAACTGCACCTGCAAAATAGCTTAAACTATAGTGTATGCAACGAAGTTCTTCTTGGCGAAAATAAAAATCAAGCATCAAAAACTGAAAATCCTGATTTTAAGGAAATTAAGGGATAGGGTTTTGGTTTTTACCTAGTTCTTGTGAGGCGTTGAAGGAAGAAATTAAAGAGCAGAAGAAATTGGGGAAGGAAGAAATTAAAGAAAAAAAGGAATGGGTAATTAAAGAGCGGAAGAAAGAAAGGGATAGTCATTTAATTTTACAAAGACTTGGGTCTGATTATGAGAATCTTAGTACTGGTCAATCCCACTGGGAAGCTCCAATGAGATGCCCACACGTGGATTTTTCCTCCTGAAAATTAGAAAAATAGTCGAGGAGTTGAGCCGCAGTTCTGGACGCTTACGAGCTTCAACGGATATCAGATGATAACCGTTATGCGCCTTTGCCGCTGTTTAAATACAAAGCATATCCAGTTTCAACATCCAGCTAATGCTTGACGCAGCCTCTTTTTTTTTTTTTTTTTTTTTTTAAATTTCTTTTTGTTCTTCTTCTCCTTAGCCTTGTCAAGTTTTAAATTGTCACAGGTGAAATTTGTCCCGACCACTTCGAAAACTAGATATACACACATTGTAATAAAACCATGAGGATTGATCCTAATTTTTCATCTGACCCACCATAAGGGAATTTCCATATTAGTATCAAATTTTGCCGTTCATATTTAGAATAAAGTACTTAATCAATTCAGCATTTTTAAACCTAATAAAATTCAGATCTTTAACATGAAGACGCATTTGATAATAAAAATAGAATATTTGAATCTGAATTAATTAAGTGGTACTGAATTATTTGGGTTTTCACTTGCTTTGATAAGATCAACAAGTTCTGCTTTGACATCAGTCGTGCCTCGAATCCGTTGCAGCATCTTCATGGCCTTTTCATGATCATTTCCGTGCTGAATGAGACTATTGGGTGTTTCTGGAAGGAAAAGTGCCCCCACTGTTAAAATTGTTGCTGGTGCAGCAGCCATTGCTAGGGAGATGCGCCATCCCCAACCATCTTTAATCTTCTCCGTGCCATAATTGATAAGGTTAGCTACTAAAACACCAATACCAACACAAAATTGGAAGCCAATGTTAAAAGCTCCTCTAGATTTGGGTGGTGCCATTTCTGAGAGGTATAAAGGGACCGACTGCACAGGAAGAGAAACTCATAAATTAGGTGATTTTGAGTGTTGAACTCTGGTTTCAGTTCAATGCAAAAACAATCCACTAAGCTACAAATTTCATTTCCGTTCCACCCTTTATCAAGATTACACCCATGAGAAGAAATTAGAGATTCATTGTAATACATTAATTTGTGGAAAGGAGAAATTTACTCTTACCTGATTGGCAAAACCAACTCCCACCCCAAGCAAAACACGGCCAAATATTAGCATGTAGATGTTATAAGCTGCGCCTCCAAGTGCAGCACCAGTTAGAAATGCGGCCCCACCAATCAGGATTGATGGCTTACGGCCGAAAGTTCTAGTGACTGGTGAAGCAAAGAAAGAAGCAACAAGCCCTGCAACGTAGAGTGAAGAGGTGAAGGAGGTGAGAAGTTGGCTGTCAAATTTGCAGTAGTTGCTTATCTTGGAGTCTTGTTTCATTTTAGTGTACACTTCTGGGAAGAATTTCCTCAAAAATGGTTCCATCGATGTAACTCCACCTACATAGTCCGCATAGATCAGTAAAGTTCTTCAAGTGTTCTTGTCACTAGATTTGGTGGTGATGTTTATTTAACTTATATAAAACTCAGACATAAATAACTAGGACTAAAATCTATACTACGTGCAACATCAATCGGTTCTTGATAAGTAATTTTATCTTAAGAGGAGTGAGGAAAGAACCTGATATTCCTATATCATAGCCAAAGATAATTCCACCAGTCGCCGCAACCATGGAGGAAAGCACCACAAACCATGTAATCCTCCCATTATACGGCTGACTTTTACCTGTAACCACCAGCCCTCCCGCCATGGCTTTCCTGCAAACTTTCACAGTAGAAGAGTGAAGACTGAAGAGCACGGCGACTTACGACAGCTGACTAGTTAGTGGAGGTATGCCGAGTTTTCCATGCGGATGGAAGTTGGAACGCCTCCGTTTCCCGAAGTTGCCGAAAAGCCTACTTAAGAGAAAGCTCCCGGGCAGGGAATGTTCACAGGAAGAAGTCTGTACCTTTTTTCGTAGTCCCCAGGGAAGATGGCTTTAGCTGGACGGGAAGACATAGCAGCGTGCGGGGTTTTATGAAAGAGGTAGAGGGAAAGAGCTGGCTTACTCGGTCGACCCTCTCGTTCGCAACTTGACTGGAATTTGGAGCAGTCCAACTTGACTGCTGGATGTCACCATCCATCGGTCTGGGGATGTACACGTATGGTGTAGAGGTCTCACACTTCTTTGGACTCTTGGAAGCATATGGGATTGACTGTCAGACTGCCAAACAACCTATTGCTATCACAGAGTTAAGAAGTGATTCCCCTCATCATAATCACATCTCGCCGTATTCATCCATTCATCGTCACAGTGGCTTCTTGCCATGATCATCCTTTGAGAAGGAACTCTGATGGAGGTGGTAGACTTAACTGTAACCCGTCATCGATTCATAAACTAAATACTCTTCAGGGGGACCAATTTATCTTGACATTAGCTCCTTCATACGATTGGCATCATTACTGAAGCACCTTTACTCGGTAGAATGGTTCTCAGTGATTGCAATGGCTTTTAATTTTTATTCTTTAGCCATGTGACGATGATTATCAAAATATTATCTGGAAATTTTCCAGGATCCAGCAGATAATTCTGGCTATTTCAGTTTTATGTGGGAATACAGCACTACCTTTCTGCTGTTGCTTCCTCATCAACACAAGCAGAGGAGAGAGCAAAATTTTGTCTGTGCAGCTTCCACAAGTGAAGTCTAGGCACCTAGCCACAATGAAACATTCATATATATCTATCGTCCAAACATTGATCGTCTACCTTATATTGCCAAGAATGTATTTCTGTAAAATCTAATGGTGATGCGTGAGAATCCAAGATAGTGGCAAATTAAAAAAGTGCGAGAGATTCAGTAGTTTTTTTTTTTTTCTAAAGTTAATTTTACAAAGCAATAACACACGGTCTAATGACAAATTGCATAATTTACTGGTTCTTCATTATTGAACAAATGGTCCACAAAGAGAGTACCTGGCTTATTTCTGCCAGATTTCATATCTCAATCTATGTTTTCTTTTTCTAACTTTTACTGCTAATGCAACTTTGTTTTGATTTTGAAAATTTTGATATGGTGCACAAATGGTAAGTTAACCAGCAGTCAAGTTGTCTCAGCCTTGTTCCCGTTATAATCTTCATCATTAAGCACAAATCTTTTCCAAAACCAATGCTCCCTCCAGATCTTTTCCATCCTTTCAATTGGAACATTCTTCGTTTCAGGTAGCAACAGGTAAACAAATGCGGTCATCACTGTTACCCAACCCCCAAAAAAGAAGAAGATTCCAGCTTTCAAGTGGCACAGCATAGCTAGGAAAGTCTGCGCACCAAGGAAAATGAACACAAAATCCACAGCAACTCGGATGCCTTGAGCAGCAGATCTTATCTCTAGGGGAAATATTTCACTTGGAATTAACCACCCCAATGGACCCCATGACAATCCAAAACCTGCAACATACATGCAGACCAGGATCAAAACCAAGTAAGCATATGTAGTGCTCAGTTGGCCATGATCCCCAAGCTTTACAGCCATGATTCCCCCTATTATCAACTGACAAACCAACATGACAGCTCCCCCTACAAAAAATAGAACCTTTCGACCAACTTTGTCCACTATCAACGATGTCAAAATTACAGCGCTGCTACCTACAACCCCAACTACTATTGCAGACAGGAGGGATGCGCTTTCACCTCGACCTATAGTCCTGAAGAGGACCGGAGCATAGAAGGTGATAGTATTGATTCCTGTTAATTGCTGGAAGAACGGTATTGCCATTGACATGACAAGTTGAGGCCTATATCTTCTTTTTCTGATGTCCTTAAATGGATGCTTTATTGCTTTTGCAATGTCACTTGCTTGGATAAGATCATCTAGTTCAATTTGAACATCGTCGACACCACGGATTTGTTGCAGCACCCTCTTAGCCTTTTCATAATTTTTGCCATGCTGAATTATACTATTGGGAGTATCGGGAAGGAAGAGAGCCCCAAGAGTGAGAATTGAGGCTGGTGCTGCAGCCATTGCTAAGGAGATTCGCCATCCCCAACCACCTCTGATTTTTGCAGCACCGTAGTTAATTAAGTTAGCTATCAAAATACCAATTCCAACACAGAAATTGAAGCCAGAGGTAAAAGCTCCTCTCTTTTTGGGTGGTGCCATTTCAGCGAGGTACAAGGGGACTGACTGCAAAAAAGAACAGAGAAGGTTTGTACGATTAATAACGAAAAAAATTATTAAGCCCATAAAATGTTTAGATGCACAAGTTCACTACTTGGCACTGAGAACGGAAAATCTTGAAGTAACAGGTTTAGATGAGCACTGAAAAGCTTAAAGTAACAGGTTTAGATGAGTAATTCCAGCCAGTAAATGAGATGGCAGCCGGTAATTCAGTATCCCCGGCTATTTATCCTTTAGACACCACATGCTAGTAGAGTAATACCTGGTTTGCAAAGCCAATCCCAACTCCGAGGAAAATTCGACCAAATATTAGCATGACCACGTTGTATGCTGCACCACCAATGGCAGAACCAATGATAAATGCAGCTCCACCTAGGAGAATGGATGACTTGCGCCCGAAGGCCCTTGTAACTTGTGAAGCAAAGAATGAAGCAACAAGGGCAGCTATGTAGAGGGAAGAGGTGAAAAATGTCAGTAACTGACTATCAAACTTGCAGTAGTTGCTCGTTGTTTTGTCTTCTTTCATCTTTTTGAACACCTCAGGGAAGAATTTCTTCAAAAAGTGATCCATAGAGGTTACTCCACCTTCACTTCAATCAAAATCAGTTAATACGCCTACTGATTGTATATTGCCAAGAGTAATCACGTAAAAGATTAGTTGCAGTCATCCACTTCTCAAGCTTCCAGATATTCAACTACTCGGAATAGAAGTTAATTGAGAACGAGTAAATCAAGAAAATTCACTTGTGCCATAGAAAAAATCTAATGCAAAAAAAAAAAAAAAAAAAAAAAACTGAACTGCCGCACTTAAATACTAAAAAGTTCACAAAATTTAGTACTCTTAATGACCTGAAATGTTGATGGCTATAAGAATTAAAAATGATGGATTCTGCAATTGCAGCAGTAGGCCAATTCTGTCACCTATGTGTCTCAAGCAAGCAAAGAGTACAAGCAGCAAACAAGCCGGATAGCATAATACTTGGATGATAAAACTGTTTCATTTTCTTCTTATGGATTGACAGTATCTGATACAATTCCACCATTTTCACCGTTACGCAATTCAGAGATATTCCAGAAAAGGGATATTCTCTTTCCTTCTGATTTGAGCACTTCAAACCTTCTATATCCGTTTGTTCTAACAATACTAAACACACAAGTTTGATGCAATTCGCCTTGATGAATTATTTTCCTGATACTCGAGTTTCAAGCAAACGAATCATGGCAGAAAGACCAAACGAAAAGCCATACGAATTGATACAATTAAGGGAATGCGAAAATGCGAATCACTGATGGATGTTTATCCAGGGTTTTGGTGAAAAGACAGATATTTTAGCCAACAACAAATGAAACCTGAAATTCCAAGATCATAGCCAAAGATTAGTGCTCCAGTTGCAGCCACAGCACATGATAACACCACGAACCACGTGATCCTGGCATTATAGTGCCCGCCTTCACTTCTTGTTGCCATCCCAGGTGCCATTCCTGCTCAAAAGCTCCCGGAATACTAATTGAAAGTTCAAAGGGAAGACTGGATATCGCTTATCAGCAAGAATTCCATGATCCAAAAGACCACAAAGTAAATATACTACTCGTGTTCTTAATTACTTTGTCAGTATTCTCTGCAAGAATAATCTTTATTACTACTAATACTAGTATATATAAAAGTTCCAACGAGTGAGGTGAATGTGTGATGTGTATTATGTGGAACGTCGCAGTCTTGCAACCATGGTTCAAAGTTGTGGTGGCGGTCCGACCATTTCATATCGGTCTCGACATATCGATCAAGGTCTCGGCGAGATGTAAATTTTGTAGTATTTAATATTTTAAAAATTATGAATAACATTAAAAAACATGCTAAATAAAAATATAAAAAATTAGCAAAAGAGTATCAATAAAATATAAATTTGCGAGTTGACTCGAGATGATTCGGACTATTCGTATCGGAGACTTCTCAATTGAGTTCTAGGTGATTCGATCGAGTTTTTGGCGAGTCAAGTATCTTATAATCATCTCGTCCTGATATTGTATCAGAGGGATCGGTTCCGGTGATGATTCGGCTGAGTCATCTCTGTCTCGACCAAGACTTTGAACCATGCTCGCAACGGCCATAATCATCAAATTCATAATGAGAAAGCAGTAACAACACGGCATCCAATTTTTTTCACACCCCACAAATCAGAGTGTGATCCCAAGAAAGTCCAATACCGAAGTGCTGACTTTACTTAAGTGTATCTTTTATTTCTTTTCGTCCTTTAATTGCAACACTCAGACCACCAAACCCCTACATTGACAGCTCCCGTGATCTTCGCCCGCCAGTCAACGCAGGAGCTGTGCAATGTTGGCATGCTGCATAAAGGGGGAATTTTCATTTTCGACCACCAGGAACTTGCATTTGTAAATCAGGGTGAAAAAAAAAAAAAAGAATCAGTAGTATTAGTTGACAATAATACTGTCAAATCAAAATTTTTGTACTTTTCGGGTTTCTGAAGAAAGGGATGTCTGGAAAAAGGAAACAAGGAAAACGGATACAAACTTCTTTTTTTTTTCTCTGGGAATCAATATGATATAAAGAATTTTATGGTACTTTTGCTATTTTTTTTTTCAACAGGAAACGTTTGTATTTCAAGTTTTATTTTAGCACGAAATGGAATGTACTGAAAGCCTGCAGAATTGGTTTGATTTGTTGGTTTCTTTATCTTCATTTAACCACCATATCCATCACAAGGGATCTCAAATGAAAGAAATTTTAAGGCAATAAATAGGTACCACCACTCAGGTGGACTTAACCTACAATTGATTTATTATGCTGATAGCAATTCATTTACTAAAGACGGTAGGTGTGGAGATGGAGGCTGGTCATTATGGGACCTTGTGCCGTCTAGTTTCTGCTGGATTCATGATGGCCAACATCAAAATCAATCAGAATCTTCGATGCCAAAATTTCATTGGAACAATCAATGACATATCATATTTTAATGACAAGCGGCATGATGTATCCTGGACCCCGGAAGTTGTTAGCAGTTGGAAGTGTTGGAACAGATTAACTCTCAGAATTCAAGAGAACAAGCATTTCTTCTCGGCTTCTTCTGTCAAGACGAGGGGCGTGAATCTCTTCTTGCACCTGCAGAAATTTCTAAAGCATGATTTTATAAACAGTAATTTAATCAGCATGTCAAGCTGCCTCAGCCTTAGTTCCCAATGAGTCCTCATCATCATCGAGCACAAATCTCCTCCAAAACCAATGCTCCCTCCAGATCCTGTCCATCCGTTCGAGTGGAACGTTCTTCGTCTCAGGCAATAATAGGTACACAAATGCGGTCATCAGTGCCACCCACCCCCCAAAAAAGAAAAAGATTCCGGCCTTGAAGTGGCACAGCATGGCTAGGAAAGCCTGAGCAACAAGGAAAAGTAACAGAAAATCCACAGCAACTCGGATACTTAGTGCAGTAGACCTTATCTCCAGGGGAGAGATTTCACTGGGAACTAACCATCCCAATGGACCCCATGACAAACCAAAACCAGCAACATATGTGCACACCAGGATCAAGACCAAGATACCATAAGAATTGCTCAATCGCCCATGATCCCCTAGCTTTATTGCCATAATTCCTCCTATTAAGAACTGACACACCAGCATTACAGCTCCCCCTACCATAAAAAGAACTCTTCGACCAACTTTGTCCGCTATCAACAATGTAAAAAATATTGTAGTGCTGACTACAGCTCCAGTCACTACTGCAGACATGAGTGATGCACTTTCACCCAGACCTATGGTTCTGAATAGTATTGGAGCATAGAAGGTGATAACGTTGATTCCTGTTAGTTGCTGAAAAAAGGGTATTGCTATCGACATGACTAGTTGAGGCCTATATTTTCTTTTGATGATGTGCTTAAATGGGTGTTTAGTTATCTTTGAAACGTTACTTGCTCGGATGAGATCGTCCAGCTCAATTTGGACATCATCAACACCCCGAACTTGTTGCAATACCCTCTTGGCCTTTTCATGGTTCTTGTCATCCTCGATCAGACTGTTGGGCGTTTCAGGAAGGAAAAGAGCACCCACGATAAGAAATGAGGCGGGTGCCCCAGCCAGGGCTAAAGAGACTCGCCATCCCCAACCTCCTTTGACTTTTTCAGCACCATAATTGACAAGGTTAGCTAGTAAAACACCAATTGCTATGCAGAGATCAAAGCCAATACCAAAAGCTCCTCTGGATTTTGGTGGTGCCATTTCTGATAGATACATGGGGACTGACTGCAAAAAAGAAAAAGTCGATTCATAAAGTTAGCGACCGACCAAAGACGAACTCAAATTTTACTAAGGCACAAGTAAAATGCTGTCGGCATCCTTGCTTTATCAGCAATACAAGTAATTTTCTGAACTTCAATTGAAAGCGTGTTTTGTCTCATGCAGCCAATTATGTTGCTTTCTGGCAGAACTCACGCTAGCTCTATCTTCTTTCCAACTGAGCTTTAGTGAGTCTTCTGGACAATCGCAGCAATTATAATGCATTTCCATCTAAATATTAAATGATGTGGGTGCCCAAATCAATGCCACCTAAATTTTCTTGCTGTTCATTTGCTGTACCAATTGTAGAGAAACAAAAATGAATTTTGCTGAAATCTGCTCCATGTTCCTTATCTCTAAATTTGGCAACTAAATGTCACGAACCTCAGCAAAAACAACAGCTTATGATGGTTTATACATGGATAATGACAATGTAAAATTTGGTATACGCCATCACAGAACTAGTCGTCATCATGTACATATGTGTGTGTACGTGGGTGCTGTGCATGAAAGAGAGAGAGCCACCTGGTTTGCAAAGCCAATCCCAACCCCAAGTAAAACTCGAGCAAGCATCAGCATGAATACATTATATGCTGCACCGCCTATTGCAGAACCAGCTAGAAACGAGGCCCCAGCAAGGAGGATGGATGACTTGCGTCCAAAGGCTCTAGTTACTGGCGAGGCACAAAGTGAAGCAACAAGACCGGCAATGTAGAGTGAAGAGGTAAAAGATGTCAGTAATTGACTATCAAATTTGCAGTAATTGCTGGTCATGCTATCTTCTTTCATCTTCTTGTACACATCCGGGAAGAACTTCTTCAAAAAGTGATCCATAGAAGTTACTCCACCTTCACAATTACTCTAGTACAGTTACTAGTGTATTTTGTACAGCATCGCATTTGTTGATAACAAGATAAAATCATGTTAAGTAATCTTTGTTGAAGTCATCAACTTGTCAAACTATCAATGTACTTAACAACTCGCAAATAATAACAGCAGAAAGAGTTGAAGTCAATCTATTAGAAGAAGACGCACTAGAACTTATGGGGTAGACGAATCACGGTACAGAAAAGACCAAGTAGAATTGTACCATCTTCAACACTTTAATTTTGTCAATTCCGCAAAAAAATGAAAATCAAGCACCATATAAATGGAACGGCTCCGAAATTGCAACTTCTTTGGCCAATTCTTAAACAGAAGCATCTAATTCACTTAAGACCATACCAAACGAGACTGGAATAAATAAACAAATCAGCAACATAATATGATGCAGGATGAACAGTGTTTGATTTTAGTCCAACGAACCATCTTTGATCCGACAGAACAGTATCCATTTTCACTTTGATCCTCTTATGATAACGTGGAAGGATATTTTCTTTCCTTTAATCTTGCATGTTCAAACTTCCCAGTCTGTCTAATAGTCCAGCTTCAATTGAATAAGGGACAAGACCAAATGAAACCCATGTAATATCCAGACATTTGGTAGGTAGTAAAGCAGGGGAAAATGTACCTGAAGTCCCAATGTCATACCCAAAGATGAGTCCTCCAGTTGAAGCAATGGCACAAGAAAACACCAAAAGCCATGTTATCCTAGCATTATACAATTGGCCCTCTTCACTTGTTATCGCTATCCCAGCTGCCATTTCTCTCCTCAAAGCTGGGAAAATAGTGAAAGTCTAAAGGCAAGAATAGAGATGAGTGTGTGTGTATATAGCTACTACAATCTGGTAAGGTGAAGGTGTGGTCTGGATTTTGGAACGTCGCTCTTGTCTTGTGGTGCAAATCAAAAATCCATTTTTTTAAGCGCGAATAATGATGAAGCACCCAACTACGTCAAACATTTAGATGCAGCTGCATATACAAGCTAACAGTGGTCTGAAATCGTGGAATGAACGCAATATGGAATATAAAGTCCCATTCTTGCTTTGGCGGCCCCTCAAAAGTCAAAAGTTACTAGTAAGTAGTAACCCGTCCCCCGGGTCCCCCACCTACCGGTGACCCTGGCGGGCGGGGGCTTTTATTTCTTTCTTTGAATTTTGTAGACGTCCTGTTCTCGTAGATTGTCAAATTTCCACCCACGGAAACTTTTGTTTATGCTAATCGATGTACTAGACTGGAGGTATTCTAGTTAAATGGGAAAGTAGTCTTTCCCTACCATTTTTGCGCTTGAGATAGCAATTTTTTATGCTATTTCCATCCTTCAATCCCTCCAAAGCTACTAAATAATTACTCCGAATTACTTTCATTTAGAATGGGTGGTTAGTCTATAATACATTCATGCCCAAAAATCCAAAAAATATATATATAGGAGAAAAAACAGCTTTAGCATTATTTTTTTAAGGATTTATTTTGCTGACACTATATATACTAGTGAATTTGAATGCATGAGAGTTAATCCGGATTCGAATTTGCACTTTAAACTTTACATTTATACTAGTCTTTCAGCCCTGATGCTATGCATCAGATAGCCTGGATTGGTTTTTTGGCTGCTGTGGTATATTTTTTGTTAGTGTTGTGTGTGTCTATGTGTGTGTGTGTTTTTTTGACATGGTTAATAGGTGATTGGTTTGGTTGTACAGTATGAAGTATGACTGGGTATCGTTCTTTTTTTTTTTGGAGAGGGGCTTTAGCTATCACTTCTTCGTACAAGCGTACGATGCGTGTGAAGGTAATATGAATTTACCTAACCCAATGATATAATGTGCAATGTATTAAGAAAAATATCATTTAAGTATATTATATAATGTGCACCGAAATTTGCTTAACCCTGTGATATAATGTAAACTTTCTACACCAAAATTTAGCCCAGGAGAATGAGAGATTTGCATGTTTATGTTTAAAACTAAACCATAAATATCACATAGCAATAAAATGGGAACATTTTATAACAGCTATAGTGAGCTTTTGTTGCAAAAATGCTCATTTTGCTCAGATAGGGAAAGTGATAGCTTGGTTAAAAATATAAGTAGATATGCTCTAGGCACATATGGTGATGAGAAATGGAACAATCCTTGGTGATCTAACACTTTTGTATAGCCTTTTAGGAGCCTTTGCTCAACAAATGTAAAGCTAAATCATTAATACAATTCCTACCGTTTCTGAATATATATATATATATATATATATATATATATATATATAACAGCTATAGTGGGCTAGCATATACTATATTAATCTTGTACACAAAACTGAAGCAAAAGTACACAGCAATTATAATAATATAGCCAACCAATTCATTTAGGTTCAAAATAAACGCTAATGACTCTTGAGAATTTTTCTCAATCCATCCGAGCCTTTGGTGACGTTGAGTATGTAATCCAACGTAACTTTTGCATTCTCTCTGTATTCACAAACAAAAACATAAAATATCATTGACCAAATAATCTTTTGTTACAATTTACAAAAAAAAAAATATTATCAGGAAGCATAAGTATACATCTTATAACAAGATTGGCTGTGAATCAATCAGTTGACCATAGAACAAGATGAAGGAAGTTAAGAATGTTGCAACTACTTAATGTCTCGTGGTACAAGAATGTAGCAAACATGGACAGGGGGGGTGTCAAAGCAATTTCATATGAGGGACGTGTAGACTACTCTGGCATCCACTACAGACGAAAAAAGCTTTGAAAGAGCAAAGCATGCATATTATCCTGTAGAATTGAAAGAGCTGTGAGATGAACAGACATTCAAGCCGAATGTAGTACGAGTACCTTGTCAAAATAAGGCTGAAACTTGCCTCTGCAGAAATTAGATAGTGTCCAAGTGGCATTTCGCAACAATGATAGTTGCATGCTCATTTAGCTGAGCCAGCAAAAGACCTAGAGCTCCATGACCAAGAACAAGATCACGGCATTTTGGGAAATCACCAACCACATTTCACAGAGCCCATACAGCCTAACGTAGTTAAAAGAAAATTAAGGAATAAGAGATAAATAACAATAAAATTCAATTATATCATGCAACATTCAAAATCCAAAAAGCAATACAAGGCATTGAACATGATTCCAAACTCCAGAAGAGGAAATTTCTTTATCATTCGTCAAAGATGTTCCTATTCACAGACATTATCGCTTGGAGAACTAAGAAGCTATGCAAATATGGGAACAACACCATTGTCTATTACAACCTTAGTGTGCTTAGATGCCCCAGAAGCAATGTTTGTGAGAGCCCAAGCTGCCTCAAACTACAAATTTGCAAAGGATGGAAAATGATAATTATACGTGACACCAAACAAATATAATCTTCATTTTGTAACGCAAAATGGGGAAGAATGAGCTTGAAGCTGAAGTTGAGGAAATCCTCCCTAATAAGATAATGAACAAAACACCAGAACTATTGCTTGTAGACGAAACCACTATTAACATAAATAATCTCACATTTATTGCAAGGGGTTTAAGCAACAATTTATATTCCATGAGACATGCTCAAAATAAGCACAAACATATAGTTGGAAACTGCTCTGCATTACTCGGCAATACTGTAGGCTCTGTAGCTATTCTGGTTAATGGATCAGTCACAAAGCGTTTTCTAGACCGACGTTGCCTATGCAGCGATGGTTCACCAGTATCTAAATTAGTTGCTAGAACCTCGTTAGCACCATTACCAATAGACCTAGATACATCTCGTTCATTTTCCTGCAAAACAACCAAAGCATAGTTAAAGATTATGAATTTAGTATGCTTAAATAAGTCAATCTGGCTTGTAATAGATAAAAGCTAACATGTGATCAACTGGTTAGTCTTACCAGAGTACATGCTTAGACGAAACCACTGTTCACATAAATAATCTAACATTTATTGCAAAGGATTTAAACAACAGTTTATATTCCACGAGACATGCTCAAAATAAGCATAGACATACAGCTAGAAACTGCTCTGTAGTACTCTCTGTAGATGCCAGCAATGAGTCCGAGCCCAATGAAGATTCAGTCGCATCCATATTTGGCTGATTCACAGCATTTGGGTCACGTATATTAAAAGGTGTGACAGCTGGTGTACACGCTCCTAATGGCGCATCATTCTTTGTCCGACGCCGAGCAGCAGCACGCTGGTCGCGACTCCTTCGATTTTTCTCAGCATGAGCCTCTTCCAAACTTTCATGTACTCTATTCCGACCCATTCTCAAAGCATTAATCTACAAAAAACCATCAAAAGGCACAAATAAAGCAAAGAGTGAAGACTTTACAAGATCAGCTTGCTCAGAAGATCAGCTAAGTGAGAGAGTAAAGACTTCACCTTGCAAAACCACAGACCACTGATGTGATTGGGAAACCAAACACACGTCTGAAGTGAATTATACAAGAGAACCACGGTGACAGAAGTGAATTTCCAGCGAAGCCAATTAAACAGTGAACTTAGAAATTATACAAGAGATTGGGAAACCAAACACACATCTGAGGTGAATTATACAAAAGAACCATGCCGACAAAAGTGAATTTCCAGTAAGCAAAGCCGATTAAACAGTGAACTACTTCGAAACCGAAAGAAAATTTTTCAAGTTATTTCCGAAGCTGCCAAAGAAAACTAAGAAGAAGAATGAAAGCTAAAAAGAGATTCGGCTCACCGCCTAAGTTGGCTGAACAGCTGAGAACAGAACCAAGAAGAGAATGAGAGGAAATTGCTGACCAAAAATGAGAAGAAGAGAATGAGAGTCACGCGGACACACGTGAAATTCCAGCAGACAGAAGCGATTAAATAACAAGAGGGCCACGTGGACAAAAGCGAATTTCCAGCAAAACTGTAGACACCAAATTTTTTGTGTAATTTCATTTTTAGTTTTTTATTTGTTGTGTTCATTTTTAGTTTTTAGTTTCCAGTTTTATTTTTATTTTTAAGTTTTATCATAGAATTTGTTGAAAAAAAAAAGAAAAAAAGAAAAACATTCAAAAAAAATATGATTTAGTCGTTTGTAATTTAAATTCAATGCTTTCTTAAAAGAAAAATGAAAATGAAAAATCATAAAAAAGGAGAAAAGAGAAAATTGAAGAAAAAGAGGGAAAAGAAGAAAAATTCAAAAAAAATAGGCTTTAGTTGGATTGGAAAAATGAAAAAAAGAGAAAAAGAAAAAAAGAGGAAAAATTGTTCACAAAAATATGTTTATTTCTTTAAATTCAATCTTTGGGCACTTTAGTTATTTTTATTAAGTTATTGTGAGAAAAAGAAAATGATGAAAAACGAAAAATTGAAAAATTAAAAATGGCCATTTTTTGTTTAAGTTTTTTGTTTAAAATTATTTTTGTTTTGTTATTATTATTACCCGGTTTGTGTAATCTTGTTATTATTATTATTTATGTTTTATTTTATCATTTCTGTAATTATCAAGTTGTGTTAAAAAAAAAAAAGAGAAAAAGAAAAAAAAAAAGATTTTGGCCGCGCATGCACGCTGCATTTTGTTTTTGCAGCGTGCCAAGGACGAGGGGCTGGTTCATCGGATGGCCAAGAAAAATGGGTTGAAGGGGATGATTTTCTGACCATTGAATACAGGGTTTAGGGGTTGTGAGTTGATATAAAAATGAAAAAAGGGCTACAGCCGCAAGAGAGGTTTTTGGGGGAGAGCATCGACAGGCTAAAAGAAAAACTGAGCGAGGGTTTTGGAGTGAGAGAGAGTTAGCGGCTAAGAAAAACCCGAGAGAAGGCGGAGAGAAAGGGATCTGGGCATTAAGTGATGGCTAAAAAATCTGAAGGAAGAACAAAGCAAGCAAGAGATTGGCGGCGTGGGTTCTGAAAGAAAAGAAACGAGAAAGAGAGATAGAGAGATAGCGGCTGAAATCTGAGAGGAAAAGGATTAGCGGCGAGAGTCTTTGAGCAGAAAGGGAATTAACAGCTGAGTGAAAGCAAGGCTGAACGGGAGAATCTCACCACCACCTGCGGCTGTTCTTGGAAGAGAAATCACCACTCAAATCCATCGGAAAACCGCGCTAAAGGGGAGGCGACGGAGCCACCTGCAGCGTTCAATCTTAGGGGAAGATCATCTGAGTTCTCCTTGGTCATTCCACATTCCATCTCGTGGTCCAGGTACTTTTTCATCTTTTATAGCTAAAAGCTGCTTCCTTTATGTTATGACTTGCATTCTGTTTGCTGATTTTCTGGTTCCGTCTCTTTTCTTTTTTATGCTTCAGAATTGACTGGTGGTTTCTGCTTGGGTTTGGTGTCTTTTGTTTGAATAACGATGAGTCTAGTGTTGGGTTAATGAGTCGGCTCTTGTATGGTTGGGTTTTAGTCGAAGGAAAATGGTTGAAAGTTCCCAACTTTGAGTGACATCTATTCAGATTTTTCCAGACTTCGCACGGCCTTTCTGTCCTATCATTTTGGTTTTCGTTTTCTTTTCTTTTGGCTTGTATATCATGGTTTTCTTTGGTTTGGGAAATGGGTTGGAATTTCTGGTTTTCATTTTTGCATGTTTGAATAGCTAGTTCACGCTTCCTTACTGCATTGGTGCATTACACTTGGTAGGATGTTTGGGCATGCTTCGTGGGTGAATTGCAGCAAGACGAAAGTGATGTCTTTCGCTACAGTTTGCTGCATTTTAGCTGCATTCAGTAAAAATTGCTGCATTTTGCTGAGTCCATGGAATGTCTTGAATTTTCTTTTGTTTTGCTGGTTGCTTGGTGGTATTTCATCGCATTTGTCGGCTGTAATTTGAAGCAGTGCTGGTTTGGCATGATAGCAGACCACAACAATATCATTTGCTCCTTGTCCGTCACTGCATTTTGATACATTAGCTGAAGCGTGGTGTTGTCTTTGCTGCATTTTTTTTGGTTTCTTCATTACTAAAACAGACATCTGGAAAACATGTGTGCATTTGCTGAATAAATGGTTGGGTTTAATGAAATGTTTTGGCATTTTAACCTGCGTGAGTTTCGTAGTTACAAAATTTCTTAGCAAGAACAAAAAGTTGCATTCTCTGTTCTGTTTTTTTTTTTATTTTTTTTTGTGATTGCACATCAAGCCTTTCCCCCTAAGTTGCATGTTTAATCTGTTTTGAGGGAAAGGAAGTAGGAGGTTAGGTGTTTGAGTTTGCATGTTTAAAACCTGAATTACTGGAGCAATGGCCGAATGTTTTGCTGGAAAATAAACTTTAGGTTGCCGAACCATTCCATATGAATGTTTGTCCAGAATTTTGTAATGCATTAGCTCCTTTATTGTTCTTGTTTGTTTGGAGTTAAGGTTAAGTAACTTGTTGCTTAGTTAGAGTTATGATGTTGGGATTGGAAAGTATCCAACCAAAGCCATGTAGTTGAATCAAAAATCTGGTTTGCATGATAAGCTGTGACTGGAAAAGAAAATTGCATCAAGCTTCATTCGTTGCTGTTAAAAGTCCTTTGTTGCTGGAATGATTTCCAATTTGTTGTACCAGATTTGCATACAAAACATCTTCATTTTGGCTCTTACATGTATGATGAATTTGGTAGGAACTTGAAGTTGGACTTTGTTTTGAGAATTTTGTCTTGTTTTCTTAGAAAATCTGTCATGCAAAGTGTAAAGGCTTCAAAGCCTAAGAAAAATATTTGCAGAAGCATTCTTTACGTGGTTGCATGAAACTTGCATGTAAAATGACTTCCAAAAATTGCACTCCAACCCTTTGGCTTCCATCTAATGCTTCCATGGCCCAATTATTTGGAAAACTGAATTAATTTTGTCCTCCTAACATGCCATTTCCTCTTTAATACATCTTGGTTTGTTTTGGGTGGTTACTTAAGGGGTTGTAGAATGAGTTTGAAGGGTCTAATAATTTCTTTTTCCTAGATTTGTAGTCAAGTTGATTTTTCTTGGATTTTTTGACATTTTGTTGCCTCGATACTAGCAAATTGTTCCTCATTTACCTCTTTGTGAATTTTCTTGTTTGATTTGGTATGTTTCACCTTAGATTCTTAATTTTATTTTATGTTTTTTTAGTCCCTTAGTTTTTAGTCCCTTTTTAATTCTTTTCAATTGGGTCTTTGTTTGTCTTAATTGGTTAAGTACGAGTGATTCAATTTGGCGTTTATTTCCATTTTCTCTGGTTTATTTGATAATTTAAGTGGTACCTTGACCTTTCTATTATTTTGGAGGGTAAGTTAGTAATTTCACTACGTTAGGGCATCGCTTCAAGGGAGGTACACTCTATCCCTTATATTTGCACTTCATTTGTCCCTACGTGCTCCTGCGTGTTATGTGAATTGCATGTCTACGTTGCTTTCCTTGTCTTTCCTCAATTCTTTGCATTTATTTTATTTACTTTTGCCTTTTATTTAAGTATTTCATTATGGGGTATGTGTACACCTCTTGGCTTGTAATAGATAGGGCTTGGAGGAGTATTCGATGAAGACCTGTTGAAGACATGTGCCTAGCTAGCAAATGTAATAGTTAGGGTTTTAATTGCTTTATGTGTCTTGCATGCTTAGTTGCTACGTGTTAATTTGCTTTGCTAGGGCCTTGCATCTAGTCGAGCATGCTAAGTGTTATGTGCTACGTGTTTATGGGTGTTTGGCATGTCTAATCGCTTTCCATAGCCATGAATGAATGTGATGGATGAATGTACGTCACCACACTAGTCCAATGCTAGTTGTGGCTCATTATTTCATTAGGAATTCATAGAAAGGGCTAGTCCAACGCTAGACCCAATTGGCCATCCCCTTTTGTTAGTGCATATTTGCATGTTCACTACATGTCATGCATTTTTCTTAGTTTTATCATTGGCATGCTCCTCGAACCCCTTTTTCCCCTCATTTTTAGGTTTTGCATCTCATACTAGTTATAGGGTTCATTTGCTTGAGAGTCCCCTTTCGATAAGGGAAACGAGCGAGTGTGGCTACTCGATAGCCTTAGCACGCTAGTTTTGCCTTCTAATCAAAGGGAAGATTAAGTCACAAAGTTAGGACTCCCCGTTCCCGTCTTGCTGCATTCCTATAGGATTCATGCATTCTATTCATTCACTATCACATACACTTACTTTATATTCTAACCCTTTTTCCACATTCTCACTTCACACTACTTTTGGACGTTTTCACTTAACTACTCACACTTTACACTTTTATTTGCACACGTGCACCTTTATATCCCTTCACTTGCACACGAACACTTTTTATCTTCATTTGCACACCTCCACTTGCATCCTATTATTTTATCACTTTTCTCACTTCACACAAACTCACACTTTCACATGGCATGCATTCCACTCATTTTTTACGTCATTTAGGATTACGTGTGACCTCTCCAAAGGATCATTATTGGGCTTCACAATTAATGTGATTGGCACCACTCACCCTTTGAAGAGAAATTTCCCCCATGTCCCCCTAGGTCTAGGTTTTTGCATTCACGTAGTCATATCCAACATGCGATACATACCTTGGGTAGAAAAATTAGGAGAAATTGGTTTAAGTCACGCAACTAGCCTTGGCTAGGTCGAAGGGGTGCCTTGGATTTTTATCCTTGCCTTCCCCTTCGTCAAATGTGACCCCCGATCCCTCTTTTGGTTACGTAGACCCAAAAGTTCTCTAAAAGGGTTTATTTACTTTTTTCATTCAAAAACAAAAATCATTTTTGGGTGACTTGGTACACCCTAACTCTATACCAAGTGGCAACTCCATTTTTTATACAAAAAACCCTTTTGAACTTCATTTGGCCAAATCGTCGCATTATAAGTCCCATGGCCTTTTACTTTTCA